GGGTGGAAAAGCATTCTTTCTTTCTTTCTTTTTTTAATGAAACCTAGTGTAATATACAGTAAATTATTTTTGCTGGTTTGGCATTTATGAAGGGGTACTTGAGCTTGATACCTGTGGGACTTTAGGTGTACATACTTTAAGAAAGACTAGTCTAAGTCTTTGGCTAATCTAGTCTAATGGACTAAGAGAGAAAAATCAATCTTAAATTTAACTCATAACAGAAAAATAAGTGCTTTCAGCTGATAAAACAAAGTCTTTTAAATGTTTGCGGCTGAACACTGACAAATTTGAGTTCATCAGCTCTCATTAATTGGTTGCAGCCGATGAAATTTTGATTAATAAATAAATAATCCTCTGTGGCCCATCGAATACGGCCATATTATTTCAGTAATATCATATGAAATGCTAGATGAAAGGATGAATCTGGAGTGTTTTCATTAAATTGTGGCGTTTAAAGGGTCTGTTCAGGATTAGCCATCGTAATGATGATGAGGGTGTTGAAGGCTTTGGTGGAACTCAGGACATTCGTGAACTGCGCAGGAAGACATTCAGGTTGTCAGGGGAATAGACCAGATGTTTCTAATGCGCTGCACAAACACAGCAGACGCATAGCAGCCTGTGCAGAGAGTGTTCGTGTCATTTTGTGTACCTCTCTATGAAAGTTTTGTCTAGAGCCAAATGAATCGCTTGTTTTCATCACAGAGGCTCATGTAAACACTTTCGTTTAGAATGCGGTAGATGTTAATTAATGTGGATGAAGTCAGACCAAGCATATTAAGGGTTTTGCCAAGTTTCAGTGCCAAAGTGATCTGTATTTATGATCTGATGACATCAAGAAATTATGCTAATGTGAGCTCAAACAGCTATGCATAAATATCTGCTTATCTGTCAATTGCACGCTCAGAACGTTTCATTGTATCAGTCACTAGAATATTATGATAAATGGCATTTAAAGAGATAGCTCACCCAACAATGAACATTCTGTCATCATTTTGTCACCCTCATGTCGTTCCAAACCCGTATGGCTTTCTTCTCTTTTGTAGAACACAAAAGATGGTTTGTGCTAGCAAAGCAGGTTTTTGTACATACAATAATAGTCCCTACTGATTTTTATCGTTTGGACAAAAATATATGAAATATTATTTAAAGTATCTGTTTCAGAGAAGAAAGAAAGTCATATAAATTTAGAATGACATGATGGAGAGTAAATGACAGAGTGTTTGTTTTTTGGGTGAACCACCGCTTTAAATCTCAGATAAAGTTCATGAATCAGTAACAATGCACTGACCTCTAACCTGTCACAAAATAACAACAACAACTTACTACTAAACACCTAAGTTTCCAAGTTTTGACCGTTCTATAAATATCAGTCAGATTTGATCTCTATCTAACCTGTCATACATTTTGACAGCTACATTTCATCAAGCTACTCACCAGCCGTCTCTGGTTACTAAGGCAGAATGTGCAGATCTGTCTGGGCTGCGAGTTTTTTGAGTCCGGGCTGGGTGTCGAGTTCTTTGGAAGGTTGTGGAGGTGATGACACAAGGCTCCCGAGCTCCTGAGACAAGGTTGGCCATCTCCACACTCCTCTCCGACCAGCAGCACGTTCCCCAGGTGTGAGATGTAGCTGGAGGCCAACCGCAGCGTCTCAATCTTAGACAGCTTCCTGTCAGCTGGTTCGGTAGGTATGAGCGTCCTCAGAGCGGTGAACGCCGTGTTCACACTGTTCGTGCGGTCCCGCTCTCGGGCGTTCGCGGTGTTCCTCTGGTGTATCTCGACGATCTGAGAACGGAGCTCGATGGGAGCTGCTACCGGTCGGCAGCCGTACCTCTTTTTGCGAGCACCCAACTTAAATGTGCTGTAGCCGTGGCCGGCCATTCGGAAGGACTTGTCATCAGATCCAGAACCCTCACTGCCGTTGTCATCATCCTCGGAGTGCATGCTGATCTCAGAGCACAAGAAATGACCTGGGGTTGGTCGCACCATTGCAAAAGACATGCTCGGCACCTTACGGGACCCCTGGACTTTACTCTTCGCCCTTGTGCAGAAATCTCTATTGAATCGTTCTACTTTGCACAAACACTGGAGTGAACTCAATCCCAATTTCTAATCGTACACCCCAGTTTACACTATGGTCTGCATGCGTGACTAGCTTCTGTAACCAGTCCTGCTTTAGGGATCCAAACAATCCAGCGATGCTTGACCCTCACTCATTCATAAGAAATACTCTTTTCTCCACTGTCATCAGTTATTTGGGCTCACAGCATGCCAAGTCGCCTCCCAGACGTGTGTGTGTGAATGAGTTTGTGAGCTCCAGATCCTTCAGTTCCACGTGTGATTTCAGCTGAGCGTTTCCTTATGCCTTGGATTTATAGTCAGGGGGTGTGGCTGGGGTCCGCTCTCACTTTAACCACCGTAAATGTGAAATCCAGTGAGCAAGTGGGAGGAATGAGAGAATACGGGGACTTCTCTCTCTCTCCTTCTGTCTCTTTCACTCCACATTAGTATTTTTTAAAAACTTGACCCTGAAATGCTTCCATTGAAGATGAATCTATATTGATAGATTGCTTCATTTCTTTCAGTGCATTAATTTTTTATTTCTTTCATACTGAAATTTCAATTCAATCTATTAAATTTCCAATTTTTTTCCCTACAAACGTGAATTGTCAGAGCCAGATGCTCATGAATCAATCCAATCCGAACCCAAGTACAGCGTTTAGTCTGTGGATGTTAGACCAGATAGTTTTGCCTTTGGCACCACGGTCACAGGAGGCCTGACAAATGATTGCACAGTTGCTGATGGTTAATATCACAGGATATTATGCAACATTCATAATATGAATTCTTCATAATCCATAATATTAGTTCTTGTGTATGGGGATTGTTCACTAGCAGCTTTAGTGCTGATTAAACAGGAAGTGCCCTGGGCTGGGGAGGGTTTGCACTGTAAGCACATAATGACGCTTATAATGGTTGAGTGGAGGTGATAGGTGGATTGGTTGTTTGAAAAGCTGTATGACATTCGTGGGCACACTTATATTTTCATTTACCATTCTTGTCAAACGTTGCCAAAATGGCATGCTCTTTATCTAAACATTTTTCAACCATTACAGGATCCTAATGCACTTATATTTACCATTCTGGTCTTTCCTGTTGTACGTTTTGAGCTATGTAACTTTTAAAAAATGAATATGTTTGGGCAAAGAAATTTAACATGCTGGAATAAAGAGGTAAAGATAGCAATTGCTCAGTAAGAGACAGCATTAACTTACATGAGTATCTTATTTTTAATCATCTTTTTAAATTTTTATATTATCACACTAATTTCTGTTTTCAAACAAGATGGAATGTTTTAGAATGAAACAAATCAAATAAAACGACAAACTAGAATTCATTAAGTCCATTGCTACTATATTAGGTATTTTATTTATTTATTTTGTTTATATTTCAGTTGCTTCCTAAAATGATGTCACTTCCCAGATGATAATGGCATTTTGTACTTGGCTTTAATTAATTATTCACAAGAAAAGACATTGGATTATAAACTTTTGGGTAGACAAAAAATAAATAAATAAATAAATACAAATAAATCTGGAGCATCTGGAATATTTATATATTTTTAAAGCTTAAAAACATGGAGAAATGGCAACCTGGGGCCTGTACCATGAAGCTGGATTAGCTGGCTAGCCAGG